TTATAATAGATAATGAGTGAAGAGACTGTGATATTAGTGCGCCCCTCATTAGAATGGAGGCAAATGCCATTTTTGTGCAAACAAATATTTCATTTGTACCATTAGTTGTGCACTTGGCAAAGCAACAGCAGACCAGTAAAAAAGTAAAAGCATGCAGACAGTGGAGTCAAGATGTGTGAGACCACACTGAAAATCTCTTGATTCAAGAATAAAGTTTATGAATTTAAAATTTTTTAAAACATCACTTTTAAAGGTTCCAAAAGGAGGTTTTCACAAGCAATGTCCTCAACAAACCTTTCAGTGAACAGTTCTTAAAAGAACCAATTTTTTCTTAGTGGAAAATATAATTTGAAGAACCTTTTTCCACTATAAAACACCTTTGAGCAATGGAAATATTCCATGAATGTTAAAAATTCTTCATAGAACAATATATGTCACTAAAGCACTAATCAGATTTGTAACACTGATCACGTGAACTTCTTTGAACAAAAGGCCAGGTGTTCTTGCTTCCACTAAAGCACAAAATGCTCTTTGGATGATTGTCAAATCATGAAGGAAAACATGATCATCAGATGTTGCACACATTTGTAAAGTTCATGCAGTTCAAAAGCTGCTGTTATTAATAAAGTAGTATGAAATGTGAAAAAAAAAATCCATATTTGTTTCAGAAACTTATACAAAAAGCACCATTTAGATTTAAATAAGCAAATACTGAAGAGTTTAGGATTGGTTCATTATTGCAGTAATTAATATATTTCTGGCATGTTATAGGTTTTCAAACAATTATTTTAACCCTAATTTATGCAGTGCATAGCTTTTTACTTCTCAAACAATCATGTTGGAAGACATACCATGTACATATTCCAGGATGACAATACCAAGATTCACAAGGCTCAATTTGTGAAACAGTGGTTCAGTGAGCATGAGGAATCATTTTCATGTATGAATTGGTCACCACAGAATCCCTGTTGAAAGTCTTTGGGATGTGCTGGAGTCAACTTTACAGAGTGGTTCAACTCTCCCATTGTCAATACCAGATCTTGGCCAAAAATCAATGCAACTCGTGACTGAAATAAATGCTGTGATGTTGCATGAAGTTGTCAAAACAACGCCACAATGAATACACAATGTTATCAAAGCTAATTGAGTGTGCAACTTTTTTTTGGCCAGGCAGTGTAAAGTCAACTCCAGCACATATCAAAAACTTTCAATGGGGTTTAGGTCAGGATTCTTTGGTGGCCAATCGCTCACAGATTGGGCTGGTTGAATCTTGGTATTGTCATCTTGGAAAATGGACATGGGTGCATCTTTTGACATGGTTGTTTGAGAAATAAAAATTTATGCACTGCATCGGTTAGGGTTAAAATAATTGTTGCCAAAACATACAATACGCCAGAAACATATTAATCACCGCACTTAGAATCTTGCATATTTGTTTATTTAAATCCAGACGGTGACTTTTTTTTTGTGGCCAGGCAGTGTATTTTTACATAACGTATGTGTGTGTGTGTGTGTGTGTGTGTGTGTGTGTGTGTAAAGAGAGAGAGAAATGTGAGTATGTAAAGAAATTTAAGAAAATTAAAATGTAACAAGTGATGTGTGTTGCATTTCTGGGCATCTTGAAATGTATTTCTTTATACAAATGCATAAAAAAATTGATAAATGTATAAATATTAAACAAATACATAATAAATAAATACACTACGAGTCAAAAGTATGAGCAGATATATGTATGAATGGAAGTATCTGTGTGTTTGGATTATTTTAATTTCTTTCCATTTTTTTTCATTATATAATCCTCATACTAAAATGTCGAATATATATATATATAAAGAACAAGCAGATGTGTCCAGACTTTTGACTTCTACTGTAACAGAAACCTTAAATAGAAACAAATAGCCACAGGAGCTTATAAATTATTACTAAGACATGTCAGAGAAATGCTGGAGGCTCAATACACCAATCTAGGAGGAAAGTAGTGTTTGGATGGCACAGATTACCCCTGTGGTGAAAGAGCACCAGCAAATAAACATCTCAGTGGGAGGACACATGGCTAAGCAGAGATAACACTTCTGTAAATGACAATCTAGACTCTAGAGCACACGAAAAAAAAAATGGTAATAAATCTTTAATGTGTCCTAAGTGCTGAGCTCCACTTCTGCCGGCCTGTATGAATAGCTTAGGAAAAGTGGTTTAAAAAAAGCTCTGGTTGAGTAATTGTGATTAACAAAACATTATTTCAACTAGCCTATTCTTAAAAGGCAAGTTTACATGCCCTTCATCATAGTGCCCAAACCGAGATCAATATAAAAAAAATTAAAAATTAATATACAGGTGGTATTACGATGTTGTTAAAAGGAAGATATAAATATTATGCTGGATCACATCGCGTCTCTGGTCAATATTTTATTCTCATTTATTCATTTTAAATATGTTTTTGTGGCTCAAGTCTTTCATGAAATCTTAGCTTATTGTAATAGGCTGCCAGAAAAGAAAGTAAAAGCAAACCGATGATTTATTTTTTTATATTAAAAAATTTCGACCAGCAGACTGTGAGCTCATTAAATGTGAAACTTACTGCAAAATCTTGTCAACTAAGCGACATGAAAGATGTTTTCATCAATAAAAACATTTTCTAGTGCATGATCTGCATGAGGATGTCAAGATCTCTATATTAGAAAGGGCAGTAAACACATGGCTGGTTTACAAAGCAGCTTCAACATGCAGAATAGAAAAGAAGAGGAGTGAAACAAGTGTGTCTTTGGACCAGTTCACTGCATGTCATTTTAGGGCACAGAGAGCATCCGTCATTTATGCTGCCAGATACTGATGGCCATGCTGAGATGCTCAAATAACATCCATCTCACAGAGGTGAACTAGGTCAGTGATGACATTTGTAAAGTTGCTAATGTTTCCTTAGGAAAATGTAACCCTCCTCCTTTGTGGTTATGTTGTAGCATTAAAGTCAAATGTTGTAGTCGGACCCCAAACTGTTGTGGTTGGAGTCTGTTAAATGGCCATCAAAAGTGTAGATCAGGGGTGTCCAAACTACGGCCCGCGGGCCAAATGCGGCCCGTGGATGAATGTTAAGCGGCCCGCAGCTGTCTTAATAGTCTATATTATATATGGCTCGCCTATATATATATAGGTAGAAGCATCCGGCCCCCCAGTGTTTCCACATCGTCAAATCCGGCCCCCTTTAGGAAAAGTTTGGACACCCCTGGTGTAGATGCATGTTTCTACATCCAAATCTGAACTGATTTGATCAAATTAGCATTACATCACTTGCTCCCCAATGGACCCTCTGCAGTGAATGGGTGCCGTCAGAATGATGGATTTGTTTTATGTTTTTTCACAAGGCAATAATTGATGGACTGGAGTAGTGTGGATTACTTGTGGATTATTGTGATGTTATTATCAGCTTTTGGACTCCCATTCTGACGGCACCCATTCACTGCAGAGGATCCGTTGGTCAGCAAGTGATATAATCATGCTAAATTTCTCCAAAAGTAACAAACTCATCTACACCTTGGATGGCCTGAGGGTTAAGTACATTTTCGGCAAATTTTCATTTTGGGTGAACGATACCTTTAAATTGTTAAAATAATATTACTACTACTGTATGAATGATTTACACAAATTTAGAAGTCATTATTAAAACATTTAACATTTCATCTGAGAAACAACCCAGCAGAAATTAATTCGTTTTAATCATAGTAAATCACTGACATCCCAAGTGACAACACAGAAGCATCTCCTAGATTTAAGTTAATATCCTGCTAATGTGTCCAGATAAGCACCTTCCAGATTTTATATTTGCTAATGAGCTTTTTAAATAACATGTCATCACACAATGGGTTTGTACATGAAATTCTAATCGATTTTTTAAATAGTTTTACAATATTGAAGGAAACAATGAACAATGAATCTGATTGCATAGGATCCAAAATCTCTCAATATGTTTGGACAAATCAAGACTTTGGGTATTGATAAACCTCCAGGGTTTCACGAACAGTACTACTAATATATAATATATATACACACACAGTATATAAATACTACAACATTACTATAAATAAATTCACACATTCTTAAAGGGTCATTTATTTACATACAAACAGAAATAGTAAATCATTTTGAAGCACTTAAGTGCGAACCACGATCACATTAATACTAAGATGGACCACCCATTCAATGCTTTCTTTGAAGACAGAAGCACAAACACAGTCACTTTCTCTTACACTTTGGTTTGATAGATCTTCACTGTATTGAGGGTGCCATAGTCCCTGAACAGCATGGCTTAAAGCTCACTGCAGCACTCAGAACCTTCCCCTGTAATGAATCTGCTATTGATCTAGAGCTACAGACTCACATACGGCTAGACCTCGGGCCCCCTGGACAGGAAAGCAATCATAATATCCGCTCTCAGTGGTTTGACACCTCAAGAAATCCCTGAAATGTACAACAAACATTTCTGCAAGGCATTGTTTTATGCCTAGTACTCACACAAAACAAAAGTAAATAAAATCAAGGACCCCAAGTTATCGATTTTTTGTTTGCTGAATATGTCCACAAAAGTTCATTCATATAGTAGATTGAATGCTACTTAAAAAACAATGAAAAAAAATCTAAAGGTCTGTTAGAAGTAGGCAGGAAGGCAGAGTCCTTCTAATAGCATTTTTATTTTCTTATGTTGCTATGATATACACACTACTGCTGAAAAGGCTTGTCACAATGAAAAACTGATAAATGTGGACAGAAATATGCATTAGTCTACATGAAATATAACCTGCAAGCCCTTTTAAACTAACACACAGGTGACAAAATCCATTTCGAATGTCATCTGATGAAATCTTCTAATCATATGTGTGCATAATTGACCTAAGATAAATCTGAGAAATCTTTAAAATACACCAAATTTATCACTTGACTTAAAATTACACAGTTCTACTTTACACTCAACTATTATTTTTGATTGTAGAAGAACATGTAGATAGCAAACCAAATAATGCCCAATGCACAGTGTATTGGTGCTGAGGTACCAGGATTAGGCACTTGAGTAATTAGAACTCTGCCAAAAATGGCGGGCAAGTTTCCAGTTATCAAGGCAGAGCTTAACTGATGGGCTTTGTTTTGTTTTGTTTTTGGCAGTGATTATTTACTTACTCTACTTGGTCAGCAATACAAAATAAGGAAAAAAATATCCCATAAATCCAGCATTTAATATTCTGTTCTGAAACACCATTAAATTAGCATACAAATTAATAAAACCAATTCAAGAAATAATGGGATAAGCACCTGCAGAAAGAAATGGAGCTTCTGCAGCTTCCTGTCGTGAGGCACAAAGCGGCCACCACAGAGACTGCAGGACTTATGTAGGTCGACTGAGGGTACATGAATGGGAACACTGAATTGCATCACAGAACAATTGTCAACACATTCATTGTGCGAAAACCCACGAAAAAACATTCACAATCAAATCAAATAATACTGGAACTCGGGAGGAGTAGGGCAAGATGTGTCATTTTTATAATCAATCAAACTGGACCAAATATTTAAAAAGGACTCAGCTCAATAAGCAGCTGCATACTGAATAAGAGGTGGTTTTTAATTCTAAAAAAGTGGCATTTTGCCTGTCAAACTATATTTTCTGCAGCAGACAATTTATTGTCTAAGCAAATAAATAAAAGATAAATTTCATGCATGTTTGGCATTTGGTAAGCTTCGGTTCCAATTGTGCGAAATACTATTATTAGAAAATATTTACAATAAAATATTCTCAAAATTAAATCTTTTTTCTTCTATATGAAAATGTCAATGATGTACAGGGCAAATAAGACTTTGGAATTGGTTTTTGCCGAGCAAATGATTTTTTTAAGTGCATACAAATACAGGTTTCTCAATGATTCCTTGTTTCTCCTTTCCTTGAGGACAAACTGAGTAAATGACACATCTTACCCCACTCTCCCTTATAAGGCTTGCTGTTGTGCCATCATCAATGTGCCAAACACATTCACTCCTACACTGCATTGACTGATGCTAGAGAACAGTGCTGATTGTGTCAAAGTCCTTACTAATTTGGGAGCTACTTGGCAGGGACTTGAGGTACTCCAGATGCCTCCTAGCATCTTCCTGGTTATGCCGTACGTAATAGATGACATAAGCGATAACCATCGTGAACCAACCAAACATGGTGACAAACATAGCCACATCTGTAGTCTTATGGTGGAAGTTACAAAAGTTTATGCCCGAATCCAAGACTTGGATGACAGGCTTGCCGGCGTACTCTTCCTGAACAGAGGTGTGGCAGCTCACCTCGTTCACAGTCTCGGGATCCAGCCTGAGTTCGCGCAACACCTCCTGAAGGGTGCACTCACAGTGCCACGGGTTGTTGGACAGGCTGATCTTGGCATGCAGCCGAGCGAAGGCCTCCTTAGGGACGCTTTGCATGCGATTATGGGACAGGTCGAGTGCACGCAAGCTCTCCGTGACACCTTGAAAAGCCCCAGCGTCCACGGTTTCGATGGCGTTCCTTGACAAGTCCAGCTCTTGGAGCCAGGGAAGGTTTTTAAAAGCCTGGTTTGGGATTTTGGTGATGTGATTGGAGGACAGAAGAAGCGACACAGTATCGTGAGGAAGGTTGGAGGGAATCTCTTCTAGGTTGCGAGAGGAACACTGCACTACCGTCAAGCCATTCTTCTCGAAGCAGTGGCAACTCTTGGGACACGCAAAACCCATTGCACTCAAACAAATCACAGCTAAAATTAATCTCAAGATAAGGGGACAGCCATGAGGGATGAAGACTTTCCTTGACACATGAGCCCCTCCAGGGAAAGTCATGTCCAGCTT